CACATTCGAAGCTGCCCATGATGAGTCATTGACCGGGTTGATGATACCAGATTGCTGCAATCGATCTAGTACAGCGCCAACTGATTCGATAGCAGCGTAGGGTACAGGGCGTTTGTAGTTAAACACTGGCTTGGAATCTGGCTTCAGTGAAAGTAAAGCAAGAAAATTTGTTCAATGGCCAAGGCCTTCTTGGAATACAGACGTAAGTTTCTTCTTCTGTGATTGTATCATGCCTGCAATCGACCTAGTCTACATTCGGACTATATGGCATACAACCCAGTCTCACCCTTACTGGGGAAGTAATAGAGCAAGTAGACAAATTTTGCTACCTGGGCAGCTATACCTCGACCGATAGACACATCACAGATGAAGCGTCAGCTCGCATACAGAAGGCTCGGTTGGCATTTGCTAACTTGAGACATCCGTGGCGCCTTTGCGAAATCCGGCTCTGTTAAAGGTCAAGTTTATGCTGCAGTAGTTTGACCAGTTCTACTATACGGCACAGAAACTGGCCATTTGGAAAACAGGACAAAGGTAGACTGTAGGTGTTCGAACACAGCTATCTACGCAGCATTGCAAGAATCTGGTGGGGCAGCCGGAAGAGCAATGCTGAGATTAGGCACAGAGTTTTAGGTAAATGCGGCCCCCCACTGAAGCAAATGATTGACCTCCATAGATAACGTTGGTTGTGACGTGTTACGCATGTCACTAAGCAGGTTGCCACGGCGAGCGATGTTTGTTGAGGCAGGCAGTGGGTGGAAGAAAGTCAAGAGTGGTCAAGCTAAGACCTGGAGTGATGGTGTGAAAACCCTAACCAGGAGGCTAGGTCACATAGGCCCCGTTAGGTTCCCTGGCTGGCGACCTCGAGATGATCATACCCGATGGTTAGAGACACTGAGTGATATGGCTGGGTGTCGTAAACAATGGCGTTCGAGCATCTTCTCAGTTTCTTCGTATCAATAATTCACTGAAAGTTTTAGTTTTCTTTTCGATCCTACTTTTAACCTTTCTAATCTTTCTATTTATGTTCATCGAAATGGGCAGCCAAAAGACAGTCACCAAAACCGGTGCACGATAGTGCACGGATAGCAGTTGTAGAAACTGAAACTGATATCTGATTCTTATTGGTTCTGGTTGGTATGTCATGCCTATATAATCAACCAATTAGAAGCCCTACGGCTCGAACAGACGCTGTACGACACCAGAAATACCAGCACGCGATTGGCAGAGGCTTGGATGATCAATGAACCTATTGTGTACATATTAGTTAATTCCCCTGATTTCTTTAAATAAATGAACTGCTATTCCTGTAACCTTTTTCTCGTGTGAGATGCTACGTGCAAGAACCAGTATTATTCAGTGCTTTCGTTGCTTCCATGATTTCTAATCCGTCAGTCGTATTTCGTGATCAGTGCGTGCCACAGATATCACAGTGCAGCACAGAGTAGGTGTTTGATCACAAGTTAGTTACTTATTGTGGAAAGATATAACAACGTCTCAATAACATAGTGTCGCACGGGTGAATGAAAAAGAGATGAGGAGCAACGTCAACCTTATCCTAAGCAATCTATGCTGTCGGTGAAAAAATATGCCCTGTAGAACCTGACCTGTTAGATCTACAATGCGGCAAACGATGGCCAACCAACAAATACGAATAAAATATGTTTTGCAGTACTTGTGATATTCATGATGCGAATGAAAACGTTTCTGAGTTCCATAGAATAAGAAAAATAAAAGAAACTGAGCATGGTTCTAATAATGTAAAACAAATGAACCGGCGAATATGTACTCTTATGACAGGCATAAAAACGGTTTTTTGTTTTTGCATAATAATCAGGTAAATATATGAGCAATACGCTCAGACGTTTTCTTAAAAGCAGCGTTAATAATAAAAAGATTCCACAATGCAGGTTAGAATACGGACCAAACGGACGGTTCGAGTGGTTCTGGGGTTTGAATCAGCCAAAGCGGAATATAGTGTAGTTGTTACTGAAGTGAAAGAAAATGCGGCCGGGGCGAGGAAAATGGTTGAGCTTTGCGTGGTTGACAATTGAGTGGGGCTATCAGTATGGTGGTCTCTGTAGCCTTTGGGTTTGCAGGGATCGCCGAGAAGGATGTCCAGACAACATAAGCTGGCTTCGTGTGGTTGATAGAGATATTCTCGCGGTTACTGTTCTTATCAATGACTATCTGTTTCTCGCTATGTCGGACTACTCGGCAAGGGCCGTTATATGGAGCCTGTAATGGTCTGCGTACTGCGTCCCAACGGACCCAAACTTGTGTCTTCAAGTCTTGATGTGTGAAGACTGCTTTTTGCTGTGGACGTGTGACGGCTGGGGTTAACTCACAAGTGTAAGCCGTTGGCCGTGATCAGGTGACGCTTGAAGTGAAGCTTTTTTGAGGCCAAGTATATTCTCCAGGAAGATGGAGAGTAGTCCCATATACTAATTAGGCCAGCGTGCACTTAAGATTGTCTTTAATGGCATATTTTATGCCTAGTAGAACAAGTAGGATTGCCTCCGTCCATGAAATGACGGAATGTGCACTAAGTACAGCTTTTAACTGTCGATGCAAACTTTCGATGAAGCCGTCTGCGCCGGGTGATATGCTGTGGTGCTTATACGTTGGTACCCTAACATGATTGTTAATGAGTTGAATAATGAGGACTCAAAATGAGGGCACCGGTCGATAGTGAACGTAGTGGGACACCCAAAATTAGCTACTCAACCAGACGAAAGCTTTAGTTACGGTTTCGGTTGAGATGTTGGTGATCGGAACTGCCTCTGGCCAACGCGTGAAACTATCCACACAGTTCAGAAGGTAAGTAAAACCTTGGCAGCGATCTCACTATATCTAAGTGTACTTGACCGAATCTGGCTTCGGGAGTGCAAAAGGTAACAAGAGAGCTAGTGTTGTGTCTGGTTATCTTACAATGATGACAGGCCAAACAGCAACGTGCTCAACTACACACATCTTTGTGCATGGACTGTCAGACAAAACGTTGGCTATTTAATGCTGATGCGCCTCTAATGCCTGGATGAGGGAGTTTGTGTAGGGCGTCGAAAACTACTCTGCGCATCCGCAAGAGTAACCAAGGACGAGGTGGGGTGCGTGAAACGTCAAACCAGATCGTGCCCTCGGAAGATGCCACTGGCAAACAGGAAAGCTTTAGACAAGACTCCAAGGCCTTTCGCAAGTCTGGGTCTGAATCTTGCAGTTGTGCCATTCATGTCAAATCAATCAGGTTATCGGTAACTACCACTATGCGCAGTAACAATATTTATACCGGTAAAGTATTGAATGTCGGTGGTGAATTGCAACACGTAGTCTAAGTGATGTATTTCTAGAGGAGAGAGATTTAAGAACCTATGCGAGTTGATTATGGTCGGTCAATATGACGAAATAGCAACCTTCCAGTGAGTGGCGAAAGCGACAAACAGCCAGTTATATGATGAACAGTTCGCGACCGAAGGTGTTGTTTCTAGTTAGTGCGTTTGAAGAAGATTGTGAGCAGAGATCTAGGTATTGTCTCGCCATAGTTGAAGGATTGCACCAGCCGCGATGTCTGACGCGTCCACTGCTGAGCTTAAGTTTGCACAAGGATCCTTATGCACCAGTGAAACAGTAATTGGGACTGCTAACTCAATGGCACCGAAATCCTGTTGCGCTAATGTATCCCAACCGCTAACCTTAGCGTTTCTTCTGAACAGGTCGGTGCGTGAACGAACGATCTGGAATGATAATAATTAAATGTATATTTCATGAAGCCCATGAAGCATGCACAAAGCATAATCATATGTCCAAAATAATTATATGTATAACAACATTACAGGTATAAAGAAGGTCTAATTAGAATGGAGATAGCCGAGGAGCGAACAAAAACTGCAGTGCAAACGGAACACAAAGCGGACAAGGTCTCAAGCGTGGATGAGGAGGATGGAGGAATGCACTACATAAGCATATCAATGAAACTTGAAGGAACAGCAAAACTTATATCGAGAGGATTCGACGTGCGGCATTCTTATGAGAAAATATGGAGAGGTGGTATATGAAACATTGAACGGAAGAGGATGGAAATATGCGGACAGGAATGAACCTACGATAGTAGTTGATCATTTTTACGAAATGAAGGAGTTTGGTCGCTGACTCAGGCGAAGGAAAATCGCGGATTGCTCTGATTTTGTCTTCGACCGAACGGAATCCCTAACGATCAATATGATGACCTAGGAAACATAAGGATTCACGACCTGATTCACACTTAGAGGCATCAACTGTGATACCGTGTTGTTGCAAACGTTCACAAAGTGTAAATAAATGCACTTCGCGTTTGTCGGCGTCCTTTCTCACAACAAGTAGGTAATCTAAATACGGAAGAACGAAGTCTTATCTGCAAAGGACCTCGTCAAAGAAACGTTGAAACGTTTATGCAGCACTGCGTAAACCGAAAGGCTATCAAAGAAATTCGCAAAGACCAAACGGGGTGATGACGGCAGTCTTAAGCAAATCCATCGTGTCGACAGATGTCTGGTTATAAGTCCTAACCAAATCAATCTTACTAAAGATCTACTTATCCTTAGAACTAGCCGTTGAATAGTGGATGGGCGTGATTGGATAGCGGCCCAGGATGGTGGCACTATTGAGTTAACGGTAATCCCCGCATGGGCGACATTCCCCTGCAGCCTGCATAGGAACCATATGGAGTGGCGAGGCCCACTGACTCTGTAAAGGGCGTATTGTACCCGCCTTGACCATAACGTCGAACCCTCTTTTGGCTAAGGACAACCTATCCGGAGCTAAAAGACGTGCGCGGTATAGTTTTGATGGACCACTTGTTACGAGAGTATAGGTAACGGGTATGATGATCGGTGACAGAACTGTAGAAACTGGTTGAGAAAAAACATTCTAACAAGCTGTAGTAACTGTAGTAATAGTAGTACGCACTGAACACAAATTACGCCTCACGATTTAGAAATAATGGGTTAGCAATCACGGATACAACGTTAACACTGGATCACACTGGTACTTGCACACAATATCCCACGAGACCAGAGGAAAAGACCACGGGAATGGCAGTTCATAACGGTTCGACCAATATCTTCATCCAGACCGGGGGGCCAGCACAACTGTCGGGCCAACAATTTCATCTTTTCCACTTGGCCCTTGTGCAAATCTTCTAGGACTACCTTGCGTAGTGAACGTGGGATTATCAGTTGATTGTTGCGGCATAGTATTCCATCAGGTTGTACACTGGTTTCTTCTCAATGCGCGTAGGCTGCTGGAAATCTCCGTTTCACGCCTAGACGCCATCCTTTAGATAGGGCTGTTATGATCTCTTCGTAGTATTGTTTGGTAAATCTGCCCAACTTCTTGAGTGATACCGGGGCAGCTGTAGCAATGAAATGGCACCCTTTGGCCGCCGAGAATCTGGATCATTGTAAGAGGAAATCGGCTTGAGGGACCGTTTTGCTGAACGGTTCACTATGTCGTAGTCGTAGGCAGCCAGTGCAATGCTTCATCACTTTTACAACCGCGGGTTCAGGGTCAACCGATCGTCACTGCAAATTAATGGTGTCTCACCGTCACTTTTGATTGCGACCATAACTGATGATACTTATACGCTTGATGTGACACGAGTGATGGCGCCGTCACGCTCCATTTTCTCAACGAATTTCATCACACCTTCACGTTGGCCATAGGGTTTACGTGCCGTTTCATAAAATTTGGCTCACTGTCCACTTCCAACATGGCCAGCTGAAACTTCACGTCTCCTGTATTGTTGGAACATTTCACGATCAAGCGCTGCAGACGCGTGTGCACATTGCGAGCGATGCTCGTATGAAGTGACTCGGAGGGGTTCAAAGCACGAATGGCGGCTGAGCCAAGTATGAATGGACACTTTTGGCAATAAAGAAGAGTATGGAAATAAGGTGTTCTATGGAGCGCACCATGAGTGAAACCTCACGCGTCAGAGGCAGTTTGTTTTCTGTCACCCCAAGGATTTGCACAGACGTCTGACGGATTTTGGCTTGGGAAATTAGACTGAAGCACTTAAACAGGAATAATAGATATCGTGATTATTGCGTCAACGATGTAGTTGTTCTTGGTGCCCGACTATATTGTCACATTTTCGTATAGAAATTGAACACACTGAACTTAGGTCGTAGAGAAAGCACAAGGCTTGTGTCTTTTTCGACTGTTGGTTGTGCGAGATTGCAGCATAGGTGTTTGCATACGATCCTTTTTGGGCCAATTTTCCCTCACGCATGGTACTTGGAATTACGGAATCGACAATTTGACAGAGGCTGGTTGATATGTTTGTCGTTAACAGGAAGGTCATGTTTTGTCTTCGGTGTGTGCTTGGTCACTGGAGGTTGAATCACTCTCGTTTTCTGCCTTTGGAATAGACTGACTACTTCACTCGAAGTCGCTTGTATCACATCATCATGTTCTTCAGAGATCTTTTGTGTCTCTGCAAAAGTCAAATCCTTCTCCAGAAAATGCCGTTGGAATGTCAGATTGTTCATGCCTGTCACTAGGTGGTCACATGGTTTTTCATTCAACCGATCACCGTATTTGTAGCGCGAATCTTGTTTAATCAGTTGCAGAATGAAATCACGGCAGGGAACATGCTCTGCATAAATCAGCGAATTAAATTTAGCCCCTTCATGGGCCTGGAATTCAGTGGGCAGCGGGTGGTTGAGCAGCAACGATTTCAGGGACTCGTATGGTAGTTTAACCGAAGCCTCAGGAAACGTCAGATTTTTAACCAAATAATAGAGGTCACAAACACTCTCCGTGAGAACTAGGTCCGACTGTAGTTTCGCGACACTTTTGCGAATGCTGCATTACAGTTCGAACCATTTGACCCATTCCTCGATCTCAGGTGAACTGGCATACAGGTTCAGTTGTTCAGTGGTTGGAAATTCCATCGCGCGACGCCAGGTTGTAGTAATTCTAGTATTTGTCATACGCACTAAACACGAAGTACGAATCATTAATTAGAAATCACGGACTAGCAAACACGGTGCAACGTGAGCACTTAATCTCACTGGTACTTGCACGACAGTATCCAAACAAACGTTGCAAATAACCAATCCTCCGGCAAACGTTTGGTCCACAATGAGGCATTAAAGAAGTTATCCATGGGCATTGCCAACTCACCAGTGGTTCCCAAATGGCTGGATTGATCCCATCCGGGTCTGCGTCCTTCGTAGTAATCAGTACGACGGGGGTACGTAGGATTTCGTCGACAGTCACGGGGTTATCCCTCATAAGCCTGTGCAGTTGCTCACTTGACACTGGTACTCGAGGTGCTCTGGATACTTGCTTTGCACCTGTTAGAATAAGCAGAATGGTGCGTCTGCTCTCCCACCAGCTGAAAGTTCCCTTTGACCCTGTACTTTTTCAAAACACTAATTCTCTTAGGATCCGAGCCAATTCTACATGAAATCCAAAGCTAGGCTCCTTTGCTTACTTTGCTTATTAGAATAAGTGACTAGATCAAGTAAACGGGTAGAGGTTTGCTCCCTTGACTTCCTAAACGCCTTTGGTTCGGTATTTCAGCAACGGCTCCTGAAGAAATTCAACTGACTTGGTCTAACATCTAGTGTATCGTCAAATAAGACTGAAAAGTCTACACAAGTATCTTGCATTTCCTTATATTTCCTCGCTATTCTATTGTGCATTCTACTGTCTTTCTTTCTGACAATGGTTTTATGTTGGTCAATTTTCTATTCTGAACCTTATACTTCACTGTTCTCACGGTGAGGTACATCTATTGGACATGCGCTTTAAATGATTTTGCTTACATGTAAATGGAAATGAGTGCTGTTTCTTGTTTTATCACGACCTCAGTTTTGATTGGACCCTCTTTGTTGAACTAACCTTTAGTGACTCGATGGTTGCTGGTATTCGTCGGAACCTGTCAGTAATGTTTACTCACGTCCGTTTTGAATATTCGTCCCAAATGGAATCAGAACCAGAGATTGCGTCTATTGAAAACAATATATTCTGAGGTCTTCAGAAAGGTTGGAAGTTGATTTAGCTAGGCCTAGGCTGATATTTAAGCAACGGCAGCGGAAACCTGAAAGTAGATCTGATCAATGAAACGAAAGCGTACGATACAGAGCTCACCGTGGGGAATTGTTTCGGTGCACGCTTTTCGAGTTCATTAAAAGAACGCTAATAGTTGAAGTAAAACTTAATCCTGGAAATGTCTAAGTTGCTTTACCCAATAGAGGAACTTTCTTCAGAGTATAGCTATCGCCAACTAATGGCGATGACTGCCAAATCTCGACGGTACACTTGATTGTGTCCGGTGGATAAGGGTCCTTAAAGGAAGAAGGGAAAAACCTGACGGTATTTTAACTACCTGATCGATAACTCAGTCGCTACTTGATTTCTGAACCTTAATGGTTCTGATAGGTACTCCATGGTTATGCATCATGCCTTGATAGTCCTCAATTATACAGGACTGGTTAGAAACTGAACGTATCCTGCCGTTAGTCACCAGCGTAGAGTGAAAGTTATTCTGGTACGTGATTTGATGATCACGTCCAGCTTGAATGGATCTATCAAGAAGCTTAGAGAAAACAAGAGGTAAGAAAAGAAAACTGCCGTTGCGAAACTGTCGGTTGAAGAACCGCTACAAACCGTTGCTTTCGGTTATACTGAACTCGTTTTGGCTGTAACGCACAATAGTAGTTTGCTTTATCTGTTGAAGCGTGCAAAATTTTCCTATTAGTCCAGAATTATCAGGAAGATAATTCAAATTACTCATTTTCCTATTTATTATCTTTACCACAGATATTTTCTGTGATTACTTGTAACATTTTGGTTGGATAGTGATTGAGGCTTATCACCAGAGGTATGACTGCTTTATGCGTCATGGAATAATGACAAAGTAATACCGTAGATTATTTTGGGATCGACTTGGTTCTCGAAAATTTGAGCTACGCGTTGCTCTGAGGTTTGATTNGCTATCCAGAAAGAACAAATAGTCAGTTGATTGAATGGATACAGCGAAGGGCTGTTCGTTTCGTTCCGAGCAGCACAAACGCATTTTGGTCGTTACACTTAGAGTATTGGCATGGATCACTAGATGCGTGACAGACAGGAGATTCGATGTTAGTTTAACTGATTACGGGTCAATAAGAATAAGGTTCCATAGTGGAGTTCCGCAGGGATCCCCCCTATTTTGCTACGCATGATTGTCTTTAGCCGGGATCTTGGAATCCTCTATTTTAGGTTCGTCGACCATTTTCTCGTCGTTGGATCAGCTCTAGGGGAATCGATCAAAAGTGATCTGGCCAGGATCCTTCAATGGGCGATTGCACAGGATCTTTCACTAAAGGCTAAGAAGTGTCAGTACCTCGCTGGAGACGGAGAGCACCTGGGAAGAACTTCATCGAGCTTCCTAGGCAACAGATTAAGATTGCCTTTATGTCATCAACTTGAGGCTCAGGCGTGTGTATGACGCCAGAATTCCTCCATACTTTGCAGTTTCGAGATGCTGTGACATTGAAATCTATACCAGCTCCGACGGGCAATAAGTTCCAGCAGTACGGAGGTCCTCTTACCACTCTGCATAGCCTTTGTACCATCACCCATTGACTGTTTCGTACAGGAGTTGAGCCCGATCGTGCTGAGGTGTACTAAAGCGTCACAAATTGTTCACCTTGTAGGTGAGGTAGAGGGTGCGTTCCTCAACCTGGTACGGAACGCGAACGCACTTAGTCAAAGCGGTAGATGCAGCCGCGCCCAACAACCGTTGTCGGTTCCAAATTGTCCATTGTGGATGTAGATCTCAAGCCTTCGTCATGCCCAATCCAACCGAGTCTGGAATAGACAGGCGAAATTCGGCAGACTGGGGTAAAACCAAGCCGAAAAGGGAAGGAGGAGAAGCATATCAAAAGCTAACGAGAATAGTAAACAAGGTGAGTGATTGGGTCACAATACTGATAAAAATACATATATCAAAATGGATCTTGTTCCACAAATCCAGCGTTGGGGCTGAATCTATGTACCGATAAAGATTCCGTTGGGAAAGGTAACACTACGACCTAGTGTGCCACAGAATTGAGCCTAATGAATCAAATGAAAACCGGATCAGAAGCATTTTGAGTACGGAATAATGGGTCACAATACTTAGTGAAGTATGTACAAAGATGGATTGCGTTCCACAGATCCAGCTTTGAAGCTGAATCCGTGTACTGATGGAAATTCAGTCGGAAGTCAACATTGCTACCCGGTTAGCATATGCCACGGAATTGAGCCTAATGTGTCACATGAAAACGAGATCAGAGGGATATCAAGTAAGAAATAATGGGTAGTCTTCAGTCTTGAGGTCTTGAAGTGATTTACGAGTTCGAGGCTGTTGCCCAAATGTCCCGGGTCCTTGAAAGTTCTGTGTATTTTTTCGTTTGATTGTTTTCATATAGGAAATATAGGATATATAGGACAGAAAACCGTTAAGGCAGAACCTGCAATGTGATGGTCGTTGGATTATTAGAGTGAATTCGCGATCTGTCTATCTAAGACGATTACCTGAAACAAGACTAGGAGAGCGGGTGCATTATCTGCATCCAGTGCGACATATCGGAAAATTCAAGAAAAAGTTACATATCATGATTAAATCAATGGGGCAGAAAGATAGTTATCGTTCAGGGATTGGAACAAGACAGTGTGACGGTGCTCCTGATGGTCACATCGTCGCCGTACGTTGCGACGTTAACTCCGATTATGTGGCAGGTCATTAATATGCAGAAGGAAAGGGAGAGTGCCAATAACGGAGCCTCGAAGAACTTCGGTAGAAACGGAAGAAACACCTGAAAAAGATAAACTTACATCAAATGAGAAGGCGTAGTGCGTGAGAAAGTCGCGAAGCATATTCCATCATTTAGAAACTTTTGAAAGAGAGTGAAATAGTACGGGGCAACGGTCGAGACGGCTTCTTTTAGCACTCGAAGGTGTAGGTTGTTTGGTCCGAGTGAACTATGAGGATCTGAGGAGTCCCTCCTCACCTCTGGGAGGAAGGATGACGGGTTCTAAAGGAGAGGGGCATTAGGAGGGCAAGATTGGGTTCGGACGGGACAGTTAAAGGTGGTTTCATAGTTGGAGAGGAATATTTCCTTGACCTTAGCAAAGGAGGTTTTAAAAGAGTTGTAGGGAAACGTAAGAGCTGGTTCGGGGGAGATTAGTTGCCTTTTATGATGATGTACTTTAAATAATGAATTCGAAGAATCCGAAGAAGAATTACTAGCGGGTCCTGTGAGAAGGTCAATGTGCATTGCTACCACTGCATTCTCATTGAAGTTGTTTCATTGTCGGAGAATTTTAGGAGTTTGAACGCCTCAATCAAGTCCCCCTTCTTCTTCTCCTCTTCAGGAGAAAAGCTCCAAGCCGCTGTAGCCCGTCCTCATTTATAGGGTTTATTATTTCTTAGAACCATCTAGTGAAGCCCCGCGGCATTTTTTTGAGCACTTTTATATCCCAACTGAATATGGGCTCTATACCTGGACGCAGCACTCCAGATGGGAACGCATGAAGGCCTTGTATAGTGGTAGTAAAACCTCCGACCTTCTGGAGCTCACTGTTCTCTTCATTTGGTAGAGAGATCCTAGTATATTTCTTTCCGCTTTTCTACTCTGTGCACTTGGTTTGAAGTCACCCTGGACCTTAATACCAAGATTCTTGACTTCCTTCACAACCTCAGGTTCTCCATCTGTGTCGGGTAGGCTGATACATCTATCCTGTCTCTCTTCGTGTTGATCGACTAGTCTTTGGCAGTTGCTGATATTTACCGGCACATATCTTGCTCAGATCCCTCTGGATGGCTTCAGAGTTGGGGTCTCTCACCAGCTTTACAGGAAACATGCATTATCCAAGCCCTCCACCACTTCACTGATGGCAACGGGTGCGGACCCAGTGCCGACCCCTGTGGGGTGCCACTACCAGGTTTCTCTTTGTGGGGGACTTCCCTTTCTGTATCCACATGAAATCTCCGACCACTTAAGCAACTGTGTATCCATTGCTCTACCTATGGAGTCAGTCCAAACCGCGGAAGATTCCGCATCAACAACTGACTGAGTCAATGGCCTTTTGAAAGTCTAGGTGGCAGACTTTCACTCTCTCCACAATCAATCATATGCGTTACCTTGCCAAGGAAACACAACGGGTTGGTATTGCGCGAGCGTCTTTTATAAAGCCGTGCTGGTTCGCGGTCATCATTTTGATTTCTTTCAAGTGTCTGACTATTCTTTCTCGTATGAATTACTCCATGGTTTTCAATACCACCGAAGTCAAATCGACGCGCCTTCAATTTGCGCCATCCTCACTGTTTCCCCTTTTGTAGACTGGAGTGACAGTTGACACTAACCAACCACTAGGGAGTGGTCCTTCCTCCAAGAATGCGTTGAACAGTCGTGCAGGCGGTCCCGCAAGTACGCCCACCAGTGGCTTCAACACTGCTGGATGTAGCTGGTCTGGACCCACCGCCTTAGATGCCATCAATTTCTGTAGGCAGTCTGCGACATTCTGTGGTTCTGTGTACACTAATCGCATTGCCAACTGCTTACGGTCTCCAACGGACCTATCTGTGGCACCTAGATCCCTTCTATAGATAGCTTGATAGAAGCGACATTAGGTGTTGGCTTTCTCATCGCTGGTTCCTAACGGTACTCTATCAACATCTATAACATCTTAGAGTCTCTATCAATGCAGTCTTTGACTGCACGTATTTGAAGTAGGCTCCGGGGTTGGTTTTCACTTGTGAGGCCAACCTCCCCTCATGTCTGTGCCGGCATTTGTTTTGCACCCTGGACGCTGTTCTTCTTGCCTTTTTATAACGCAGGAAGTCTCTATGAGCTTCCGTGCACAGGTATCGCCCACCAGCTCCCTTTTTCTCTAGATCGCTTTCTCACCCTGCTTCATCACCAAATTGCACCCTCTCTTTCGTGGTGCAACTTAGTTTGTGAGTGTCAGTATGTTGTTCCTAATTTGACACTACTGTCGCTCAACGTATTACTCTCTCTTTCACCATCCAGATGCACCACCGGCCCAATTCAATCAGTTGACAGACCAAAGGGACCGGAGATATTTGTCCGGCGTACTTTGTCCCATTGTGCTCATCCTTAGTCGCAGTATTTCATGGTCATGCTTCCCTATGAGCTCTTTTATTCCCAATCGTAGAATGTCGTTGTGCACCCTGGTTACTACCAAGTCCAATTTGGGTGGGACTTGACCATCGCTGCATCCCAGTGCCCTATCTATGTGCTCTGTCATAGTATTCCTATGTAACATTACAGCTAGTTTATTCCCGAAGGAGTTTCTGGAAGATATCTGCATGGCCCGGTCCACCTCCGGCACATTAATTTCTCTACAAATGAGTTTGCGACACTTCCGAATGACCTCAACTAGGAAGGCGAGTAGCTGATCATTCTCCCTTGTCTCTGCACTATAGCCCCACCAGGGTGGTTTCCATTACCATTACCTCTTCCCTACCCTGTACTTTCGAAGTAGCAACTATGATGCCATTCTTCGGCTGATGATGGCCAGCCACCAAGAGTACAACTCCGCCTCCTACTCTGTCCCCCGACGGGTCTATTCTACTGATTATAGAATGGTCTCGCGGTATTCGGCATTCTTCGAACCTAACCATGGTTCAGCTATTGCAATAGCATCTGCTCCAGATGTGCGTGCCTCCATCTCTGGGCACTTATTACCTACACTTGCAGCATTGATATACACCACGAGTAGAACTGTTCTCCGCATCTGCTGACCCTTTCCCCGGGGGAGAAAACCAGTTGCTCTGGAGTTATACCCGAGCGCGTCCAGTTTTGGGACACAGGTCTGTGTCCCTATCTTCACTTGGCCAATATTCTCCTTACGGTTCGTTTGCTCAATCCTGGTCGGTGTGCATGTAGTTGCTGGCTTTCTTACAGAAATTCTCAGTTGTGCCCAGCGTCTTGCGAATCCCCCTTTTATGAGATGACTATCCTGGGCGTGTTGAAACCTGGTGACTGGTAAATTTTCGCTATTCCAGTATTCGATCATGTGAGTTTACCGTCCAGGGTTATGGTGATACCTCCAGCTGTCTTATCTCGGGCCATCCCAGCGGCTTCCAGAAGAACATTCCCATGCCTTCGATTATCGAATTCCAACAAGATTGGTCTTGGAGTTCTTGTATTTTCGGCATCTACACCGCGCCACTTACCAAGTCCCCGCACCCGCTTCAGTAAACTCACTTTACTTTCCGCGCTACTTCTTCTAATCGGTTCCTTGAACGAGTTGCTTAGTATGACTGCCTCGACGCACTCTCTTTATATCCGGGGACAAGTTTGATGGATTTTCTCTATATTTGAGTTCGCGGAGGTGCAATTTGTACCCTGGGCTAACCCAGCTGAGGGTTTTATGTTTCTTATATAATAAGAAAACTTGTTTCCTAAGCCCTGCATAAGGCAGATAAAACCACCTTCCATACGTGTCGTACTGTATTCCCTTCGGGACAAAGCTTTTCTTACATCGCTCGTTGCCGCACTTCCCATCCATGCTAGCCGGTTGAAACAGAGTAAGATGAGTTAACTAATGTGGACACTTGACAAAGACAAATA